GCCCACGGCAACCCACTGCCACAGAGGCTGCAGCCCACGCCGTCGCCGGCGACTCACAGCAGCCCAGCTCCAGGCCGAGCTGTTGTTCAGCATCTTAGCTGTGGAGGGCAGTGTCACTGGCCCTCCCATGTGGGATCCGAACCGGGGCCCTCTGGCGTTCCAAGCCAGTTCTTAACCATTGCGCCACTCGGCCGGCCCGACTTTAGCTTTTAAATTATTTTGCAAATGTCATTAATTGGATGGAACTATTTTTTTAGTAGATATACTTCTCTGCAGCTTCCTTTTTCCTCCTCATTTACCACCTCACTTCCCCTGCTAACTCCTGTTTTACTATCTTTCACAAATCTTAGAATGTGAATGCATCTTGTATCTGGCTACCCTTGTCTTTCTTTGCACTACATTATTACTTGGTTTCCTCCATTTTCCTCTATTTCCAGAACACTTTCTTTTGATTCTGTTCCTCATGAAGATATCAAAGAATTATTAATGTTTGCGGTTTTTTTCTTTCCAAGGGAATTGACATCCTTGTCCTTTACTGTGATGGGACTAAAAATATTCTAGAATTTTTCTGATGTTATAACCATGTGAAGATATTTATGCCTCAGCCCAAATGTCACTGAGAAATTAAATTCTGCTTCATCAACATAAAACATTACTGCAGGTATGTCTATCTCGAATAAAAAATGGCCTCACATGAAGATTAAGAATAATTCCATTTTTAGTGAAAGTGTCTATCATTTTAAAGCTAAAAATGGTTAATTTACCTATAAGACTATTTTCAAGGGAAAAATATTTTCTGACTGTGAAAACTGTGCTGAAAACCCAATTTTTTCCAACAACAAACATTTAGTCTATAGCAATCTTATTGAATTATTTCATTTCATTTGTCTGAATATGTATGTTATGACTTAATCAAGACATTAAAATGTTTAGCTGTTATGTATTAGGTATTATGAAATATCCAAATGTAAAGTAAAAAAAATGAAAAATGCAAAAAATAAGAGAGGCATCCCCAATTCTTTCTCAGTAACATTTGCAAAACCACTGAGGTTTTCTATTGTAATTGATAGGTCTGATTAACTTATACCCTTGCTTTGCAAGAAAACACAGTACTGATTTTTTTTATCTTGAAAGGACTCCACTTCTCCATTATTGAAGCACTGGAAATGCAGTTTAAGGTCATCTGTCAATCTTTTTAAAGTAAACTTGTAAAAATCTGATATTTCATGATTTTAGGTTGGGACTTCCTAACTCCCTTGCTTGAAGGCCACTATTCAGGTTATTTATCCCTAAAATCTTTCTTGACAGATGCTCCTTAAAGAATTGCAGATACGTGAGGATGTGCAGGCGTGAGGGTGAGTGTGCATTCTAGCTTCATGTCTACCATCAGTACTCGGTGCTTTTCACATGGGAGCTGATTCCCATTCTCAGCCTGACTGAGAGTAGGTGAGCTTGGTCAAGTATGCCTATTACAATCACAATAGAACTAACAACAAATAGGCTTCCACAATACATCAAAAGTCAAAGCTTAATGAGTAGTTTGTGCTGTAATTATAAAGAAAATGCCAATCTCTTATTTCTTATGCCAGTACAATAGTCTCCCCTTATCTGCAGTGGGATATCCAAGATCCCCAGGAGATGCCTAAAACTGAGGGTAGTAGTAAACCCTATATGTCCTAAGTTTTTTCTATGCATTCCTATCTATGATAAAGTTTAATGTATAAATGAGGCAATTTTGTGAATAGGTGATTTGTTCTTACTGTAGATCTCAGCAACCTCAGCATACAATCTATTTCTTTCCTTATTAAGTCGAGAACTCATGGCAGTCAATCTGAAAACCAAGCCGGCTAAGTGACTCATGCACATGGAGCTTCTATGGAGTAGATACACTGGATAAAGGGATGATTCACCCTGGGGTGGAATGAGATGGGATGGTGAAAGGTTTCATCACACTACTCATAACAGCATGCACTTTAAAACATATGAATTGTTTATTTCTGGAATTTTCCATTTAATATTTTCAGACTGCGGCTGACTGCAGGCAATGGAAACCACAGAAAGCAAAACCATGGATAACGGGGGACTATTGTACTCAAAGCAGGCCCCACATGTGGGCAGCAATCCAACACTGTCAGACTCAAGGGCGCTGAGAAAGCCCTGATCTGTAGCATGTCTCACACGGAACTCTCCCTAATTTTTGAACATCAACATTTGTCAGTCAGCCATTACTATGGGCTAAGCAAGACCTTCTAGTCACTTTTTCCATTCCTTTCCTTTATGATAAGAAAAGGCCTAGGTTACTATGAAACTCCTGGATGTGAGAAGAAAACAGCTAAAGAAATACAACTCTAACCTTGGTGTTGTAAAAACTGAATTATAGGCCATATGATTATTTAAACTGACTCCTGCCACCAAACTCTTGGGTAATTCAAAAAAAAATCTTTATCCGGTTTACAATGATACTTAGAGTGAGACATAGCCATTCACAATTTATATAAAATAAACCCACAGGAGATTTTTCTTGCATAACTTTCAAAATCTATTTTTAAACATATTATTTAAACAAATTCAATTCATATTTTTTCCAAAACCAATGAATACAAGCAAAGTACTTAAGGGAATTTAATCACCTAGCATCTATAACACATCAATTATTAAGTCATTTGGGCCAGTGAATCCAAAGAAATTAGATCCTGCCCTCTCCAGATTATCTGAGGCTGAGACAGGCTAAGATTGAAAAAACCTGAGACTGTGGCTAAGCACAGGTCAATGATTTTGGGCAACAAAACGTGCTTCGATGAAAAATGTTCATCCATTTTATGAAAAAGGCCTAGCCCAGTAAGCTATGGCTTTGGATATAGAGGTTGTCTGAGTAAGTCATCCTTTGAGGACAGAATGAAAACCACTCTTCAAGCTGTAGTAGTGGCAGGAAAAAGGACTCTTACCCAGAGAGTTTACTACTTGTCCATTAGAAGGCTTAGCATCAAATCCCCCATTGGGGAGATCTAAACAAGAGTTATATGATAGCTAGGTCCCCCTGCAGCAGTTCTTAATGTGGGCAGAGACAGCCTAATTACCACCCAAGCTGCTCCTTCACTGATTGCAATGGAACATGGAAAGAGCAAAAGGAAAGAGAAGGAGAGGCAAGTAATATGACCTATTAATTTTAACTCAAGACTAGCCCCTGTTCACTGTCAACACACACACACACACACACACACACACACACACACACACACCAGAAACCCTAAGTCAGTTCTCTGCCTCAGACTTTTCATTCACCTGGGAGAAAGTCAACTCGAGATTTCATTTATGTTCNTAAGAAATACAAATTGATAGTTAACACAGTGAGGGGAATATAATCAACAATGTTGTAAAGATCATGTAAGGTGCCAGATGGGCACTGGACTTATCAGGGGGATCACATCATACACTGTGTAGATGCCTGACCAATGTGCTATACACCTGAAGCTGAAGTAGAATAATATTGAATATCAACTATAACTAAATATATAGGTATATATAGTCACGGGATGTGGAGTACAACATAGGGAAGATAGTCGATGGTATTGTAATAGCTATATAAGATGTCAGAGGGGTCGTAGCTTATGGGGTGAGTTATCATTTTATGAGGGGTTTAAATGTCTGACTATTATGTTGCTTCATACACCTGAAGCTAATAAATAGATAGATAAATAAATAAATAAAATAAACCATCCATATTAAAAAGGAAGAAATAAAGTTATTTGTTTGCAGATGACATTATCATGTATGTATAAAATCCTAAAGATTCCACAAAACTGTTTAGAAATAATCAATAAATTCACCAAACTTGCAGGATATAAAATCAACACAGAAAATCAGCTGCATTTTTATACACTAACAGTGAACAAATCAAAAAAGAAGTTAAGAAAACAATTCCATTGGCAATAGCTTCAAAAAGAATAAAATACTTAGGAATATATTTAACCAAGGAGGTGAAAATGTTGTACACTAAAAATTAAAAAACATTGTTGAAAGAAATTGAAAAAGACACAAATAAATGGAAAGATATGCCATGTTCATGGATGGGAAGATTTAATACTGTTAAGATGCCAGTACTAACCAAAGCTATCTATAGATTCACTGCAATCCCAATAAAAATCCCAATGGTGCATTGTTGGGTTTTTCTGTTTTGTTTAGGTATTTTGTTTGTTTGTTTTTTATAGAAATAGAAACATCCCTCTTAAAATTGGTATGGAACCTCAAGAGACACCAAGTAGCCAAAACAATTTTGAGAAAGAAGAACATAGTTGAAAGACTCACACTTTCTGATTTCAAAACATATTGCAAAATGACAGTAATTAAAAGTGTGGTACTGGCATGAAGCCAGACACCTTGTCTCACTCATTATTACTTTAGCCATTTAATTTTTATGTCATTTAATTGTTTTTGAATCACCTCTAAATTTTGGAGCTTCCATGGAATATACATTAAAGAGAATATCAGATGTGTTTTCCTTATAGGAGATATTATTGACTCTTTTGTGAACCCATAATTATAGTTACAGGCAATAGATTATAGTCTAAAGAATACAGTCTAATAAAGTCAGCAAGACTCATGTGTGAATCGCCATTCTGCCACTTACTAGCTTTGGTGGACTTAGATTAAGTTACTTAAGCTTCTTAATTTTCAATTTCTCATCTGTAAAATGTGTCAATAATACCTAAGCTACAGATATAGTAAGATGCTTAAATAAAATTATACATCTGACAGTTCCTGAGTACTCTGCTCAACAAATAATCTGCTTCCTTAGTGTTTTGACCTCAATCATTTTTTCTTAATTTTAGCTATGTTTTATTGATAATTATGTTATGATTATAATAATTACAAGTCAGTTAATTTTTTAAAAAAAAATTGAATACTGCTTTAAATACTCTAGAAGAAATCTGGCTATTTTAAGAAGTTCTATGATGAAACTTCATTAAGAGAAAAATTATTCTGTAAAGCAATTACTGACCTCTAATTTTTATAATTTGAAGTTTTGCTTAAATTAAGATATACCTTTTTTAAATTAAATACTTTCAGTTAGTGCAGTTTGTTTCTTCACTTGATAAGTCAATGAAATACTTTTGTTTTTTTCTCCAAACACAATAAAATCAATAATATAGTAATCTTTTTATCTCTATAACTTTCTCCATCTTTGTTATAGTCTCTTCAAAACTATTTATACACTTCTGCAGCCTCTCCCATGTTTTGATTCTTGCTAGTTATTGATCAATTTTTGTCAGTTTATATAAATTTTTATTGGTCACATGAGTCTAAGAAGCTATGAAATAAAACTGAACATCTCTCCTCATCTAAAGATATATATTTGATTCATAGAATCTTGGAATTATTTTTATTATAGGAAACTATGTTCTTTCTAGACTTACACTATGCTTTTGTTTTTCTTACAGCTTTTTTGATTGCTACTATTTTATTTCTCTCAAGAAATCAGAAAAATTAAGCTTACTGTGGTTACCTATTTGACTCTATTAGGCATCTATAGGCTCTAGTAATAAGCCCTCTCCTACATGTTAGGATGAACCACGCTTAGTAAGGCCATGAATAATATGAATGTATCTTAATATTTGTTAACCAAGATCTTTAATGCATTAGATTATTTGTCTTAAATTCTAAGTATGTCAACTGTAATAAGCATAGAATTTATTTATGGTTAATAAATAGTACATATTTGTTTTTATCAATTTAACATTTTTAGTTTTGCTAATCCTCATTCCTAAACAAACAAATTAAAGGGAACAAGCACGTCAGTGTTCTTTTTCCTTTTACACAATACCTTAGGCTCTACATCAACTAGATATCTGCTCTCCTGCTTAGTTGCTTGAATTATTTTTCATTCATTTGGAAATGACTTTAGCTTTTATTTTTTATTTTTTTTAAAGATTTTTATTGGGGAATTGGGGGATGGGAACAGCACTGGGGAATTGGGGGAAGGGGAACAGACAAGTTGCTGTCGTTTTGTTCTTCANACTAGATAATTCTATCAAGCATTTAAAGAAGAATTAACACCAGTCCTCCTCAAACTCTTCCCTCAAAAAATGAATAGAAGGGAGCACTTCCAAACTCATTCTTGAGGCCAGCATTGCCCTGATACCAAAGCCAGACAAAGATGCTACAAGAAAAGAGGACTACAGACCAGTATCACCAATGAATATTGAGGCAAAAATCCTCAGCAAAATACTAGCAAATGGAATTTAGTAGTACATTTAAAAGATTAAATACTTCTTGACAAAGTCGGACCTATTTCTGTAATGCAAGAATGGTTCAACATATGAAAATCAATCAATGCAATACTCTACATTAACAGAAT